TCCCCTTTCTACCAGCAGGTGGCAGGATTTAAATGAAGGCCCGGTTAGTGTCTTTAGTAAATGTTTTGAATCCAGGTTACTCATACAGATTTATTTATTGTTGTTCATTTCATTTGGTTTTTTAATATTTATGTCTTATTTGCAGCCTAGTTATCATGTTCATCATTCACCCTCAGCCCAGAGTTAAACCTGCATGCTCCTCTGTTCTAACCTGGTTCTAACACTGGCTCACATCAGAAATGTCCTAATGTCACCATCTGGCCAAAAGAAGGATTTACCAGTCTGCTTTATACTGTGTGAATCTTTCTTTTCCATACACATGTGTGTATAACATATAACACCCCCATTGTGTCATGCAAGTGAAGAGAATCCAAACAGCTTTTTCCATCCAATATTTATTCAACATATATTCATACTTTCTGTGGCATTGAATGTACAATCTATGGGTATAGATTATATTAATATATGTTCTGCAGCCATAGATTGTACATTCAATGCCACTGAAAGTATGTATGTGCTATATATGTTGATGGATTTGAATGGATTCTCTTCACTTGCATTACACAATGGCAGTGTTATATGTTATACACGCTGGAATGTGTATGGAGAAGAAAGATTCACACAGTATAGCACAGTGGTAAATCCTTCTTTTGGCCATGGGAGTTTGTTAATCAATGTGCTTAAAAAATGTGACTCCTGACCGCTGCTTACATGAATAAATGCACAATATTATAGCGCATGTAATCATACTGTTGCTAACGTATTTTTCTCGGTCCAGGTATTTATTTTCATCTAACATCAAGCTGGTATAACGTTAGTGCTGCATAATGCTACAGATCCAACCGTTCTAAAAGCTTGGCTTTTATTTTAACATGTTTACCATTACTTCCGGGTCACCTGGCCCACCTGTCTTTACTTTCTTAACGTCTATCTTCAAAGGGAGAAATAAAAATAGGAATTTCAAAAAAACAAAATCGGACCATTATTTGAATTTGGTTTAGTCGTTTTTCGTTTTTGGATTCAGAAACCAAAAACGGGAGAACGGCTCTTTTTTTTCGTTTCTTCGTTTTTGGTTTGAAATGACAAACGAAAAAAAGGTGGTTTTCTCGTTTGTTTGTTCTGTGGTTCAAACAAAAAAACAAACTATCAAAATGTACATGGACCAAACACATATGAGACACTGAGGCGAGACCCAACCAGCAGATACAAGAAAAAGGCCACAGAATGTCTACAAGAGCTACACAAATGAAATGCAAATTAATTATTTAAAAATCGTACAATGTGATTTTCTGGATTTTTGTTTTAGATTCCGTCTCTCACAGTTGAAGTGTACCTATGATACAAATGACAGACCTCTACATGCTTTGTAAGTAGGAAAACCTGCAAAATTAGCAGTGTATCAGATACTTTGTATACTTTCTCCCCACTGTACAACACTGGGGGAGTTTATTTCTCCACCCAGAACCTTTTTTGCTTTTGTTTGTAAGAACTCTGTTCAGTTCCTCACTCAACAAATTCTTTGGTGACAAACTGTGTGCTAATTATTTAGCAAAAAAGCAGACAGAGCGAGTCGGCCACCGTAGCTTCTCCTACGCGCTTGCAAAGGAAGGGGGGAGTGTTGGCTGAGCCGTTGGTTGAAATTAACAGCCCACACCACTAGATGCCACTAAAACTAACACACTGAACCTATCGGTTAACAATCAGCATTGGCGCTGTGGCTTAGTGGTTAAAGCGCCTGTTTCACACTTGATTGAACAGTACCTTCTGGTTACTGTACCCTACATGAACAAACACATGGTGTGTTTGGGAGCCTTTATATTAATTCAATTTTCAGGAAGAAGTGACCACATTTGGACAAGAGGGTGGAGCTGGGAGGAGTGAGGGGTGAAGTAACCATGAATTTGATCCCCTTCTAAACTCAGTTTGCTGGTGAATGTACATTTCATCCAACATACTAAGTTATCTAACACTAGATAGCTGTGTAGTTTGTTATATTTTATTTTGATTTCTATTTTTATCTTAATTTGCCCTCTTGTATTTTATCATCCGCTCTGGTATTTCATGTGTGTCTTGTGAAGCATTTTGTTTGTTGTTTGATCAGTGCTCTATAAATAAAGTAATTTTTTGTTCCCATCTGCATATAATGTACTGTATGACTAAAATATTAAATCACTTTAATTTGCCTTAAAATGACACTGGAAGATCAACAATGATTGAGTATGCAGTATGGAGTAGCTGCATACTGAGTACTGAGGCCTCATCCACACTACTGCGTTTTCGAATTAAAGCGGAGACCTTTTGCTATGTTTGCACCTCCCGTCCAGACTACAACGATGAAAACGAAGACCTAAAACTGAGAAGTTTGGAAACGCTGCTGACCCCGTTTTGCGTTTCAAAACTCCGGAGGGCGTTTTAGTGAAGACGGGCCAAAACGGAGGACTTTATAAACAATGACGCAGCCGCTCACACTCGGCTCTCTAATTGGGTCTTGCAAAGCAGAAACACAATACTGCTGACCGGGTTTTTGACATCATATTAAAATATTCTGCACCGTGCAAATAACACTCATCTGCCTACACTTGTGCTGTGCATGTCGACATTCCCCTGTTACATTCAGTAACAGTCCCAGCTCGTTATTGATCCGTGGAACAAAAAAAATGGCCTGATGCTTAGGGATAGAGCGGGATAAGATGTCTCGTGTGTAAGTTGTCACACTGCTTCAACACTAGAGGCTCTATGTCAAAAATCAAAACGCCATTTTGTGTGACTTTTTTTTCTATGTTCAACTTGTGGTCATCATCACTCTAATCTGAGGTGAGCACAATTTTATTATTTTTTGGCTTCAAAAGTAAAACATTTGCACTTTACAATTTATGTATTCCAACCTTATTAGGTATGAATGTTGAAAATGATAACTTTACACAAAGTAGAGAAGACAATAAAGTGTCTTTTAATACTTCAAAGTGAAGTCCTATGTTAAGCTAACCTTGAGATTTAGCTGACATTAGCACACATGTCAGTTGTCTCAGTGACTTTGTGAAACTGTGTAATTACCTCTGACACCAGTATTAAATGATACTGTAAATAGAATATTATGCACTGTAGTTTACAGCAGCAGCCATGAAAGAGTATATATGGTCTGGTGCCGTGCTGTAGTGTGTTAGTAGATAAAAACACACACACACTACATCATACAGTTATTAATTTAGTTAGGCAACCAGGGTAGTAGACAAATAAGCTTGTAATTAATTTGTAATTGCATGGAGGAATGTGTTTTTGAAGGAAGGAAGATAATTATCAACAGAAGACAGAGAATGGCAGCACACCAACTGACATAATGTTAAAGGCATTCAGGCAGGTGAAGTTGAAGAACAAATCAATCAGAAGTACAGCTATGGATTTTTACAGGATTTGACAAGCCGCTGACATCTCTTTTGGCCTCATCTATGTGGAGTCTTTTTCATACGGTATTCCAAACAAGTGTGTGAAACGCAACAAATGGGCCTGCGATGTTTGCACCTCAGGCCAGGCAATTTATGTGTGCCAGAACTGTGACTCTAAACACATGTCTGATTAGTCAGATACATATATACGTTGTATAGAAAAGCGAAATTAGTTGCATTAGTGTGTTTAAACACCACATCTGTTTAGTCAAGAAGTTACACATTTAATAAAGTTATCTGCAGCATTATATTCAATTACCACAGATCTATTTGCACTCCAGAGAACGTTGGATTTTAAAGTTCAAAGAAAGAGGTTGTGCCACTTAATGTGTGCTCTGCCAACATTTGTGTTTTGAATTAAATTATTTACTTTCCAAATTCTCTTGGCTTGATTGTTGATTGATTTTATATTTAGTTCTGGTTACAATTTGAAATTGAAATCAATATTCACAAGTTTCTAACTGTTGGATAATGCAGTGTGAAAACTTCCCTGCCGATGAGGCCAATTGTCACAAGTGCACACTCTCTATTCAACAGTCTACAGCTCCATAATGAGATGAGAAATGAAGATGTGATGAATACTAATCGTCTGCCAAAGACTTCATTCTTTCATTTGGTGTGACATTTGCACCATTGTGATGTACGGTGCCCAGTAAATATTAGACAGTGTGAAAAGTGTGACAACATACCCCGCTCTCCCCTAGTCTGTATTTATTTATTCTTTCGCCAAAGCTTCTGTAGCTACGGAATAGACCATCTGCTTCGCGCGTGCCCAGTGCACCTGAACGGGTCCCAGCTGCGCGTTTTCAGTCGTTTTAATGTAGACTGAGATCGACTCTGAAACGCTGCTGTGGATGGAGATCGTATTCCTTTTAATTCTCCGTTTGGAAACTAAAACGGAGTAGTGTGGATGGGGCCGCAGTAGGCTCTGCAGTATTCAGTCCATAGGCTACTGACTGAGTACGCAGTAGCAGTATTAGTATGTGTTCAGCTCTGAAAACACTTGTATTTCCTGTATGTGCAGCATGTTTGTAAATCAAACTGATGAAGACGATAATGTGTTTTCTAAAGCTGCAGTGTGTTGATCTCTCACCATATAAAGTGTATTTTTTAGCCTTCAGTATTTATTAATAACACTTAATAAATCTATTCAGTGTACATGTTGCAGTAGCCTACAGAGGAGATGAATTAGTTCCTTTATTTCCTGAATCTATTTTAGTCACCTGTCGGTAGTCTCTCAGGCTGCTGCCTCTTTAAATAAAAATCCTGCTAATGAAAATCCACCGTTAACACCCCCCTCTCCTCCTCCTCCTCCTCCTCCCCTCGGCCTCCCTCCTGCTCTCTGCCCGGGCCGGGCACCGGAGCCGGATCACCGCTGGCTGTCCCGGTCGGTCTGTGACGGTTCGCGGAGCTGCAGAGAGAGAGAGAGAGAGACAGCGGGAAGAAGGTTATTCCCCTTTCTAAGGGTTAAACACCTGTTTCTGTCCGCGTGCCTCTGCTGGCTCAAACTTAATCTCTTCTTCATCATCATCATCATCACAGGTCGCACCGCCCGCCCGGCTCACAGCTCCCTCGGCCGGGTCACACAGGGAACCTCCACCCGCTGAAGCTGCTGCTTCTTCAGGTCTGAGGCCCGAGGTGAGCTCCGCAGGTGGGCAGACTCACATGTTGTGTTGGTCTTGTTTCCAGGGTGGACGCTGAGTTCTGTGCACGGGGCGTCCCTGCTGGGAGGAGTAGAGCAGCCTACGGGAAGCAGCCGGCAGGTGGGCGGTGTCTGTCTGCAGATCACCTGAGACACGAGGTGAACACAACACTGTCTTCATTCATGTGTCAGAGCCGCGGTGACATGTCAGGAACACCGGCATTAACAAACTATGGTGTCATAAACACAAACAGCCAGACCAGCAGAACCCTGTCCTGGGAAATACACCTGTTAAATTATCAGTAAGTCGATGGACAAACTTCTTTGATAATAGTTTATTTTACTTTTCCTGTAAAACCTCTGATGTTTCAGCTTCTCTTATGTAAACATTTCGTCTTGTAACTGTAGTCTAATTTTTGCTTGAGGGCAGAATCTTTACAAACCAAACAATCAATCAATTGATGGAGGAAATTATCAGCAGACTGATCCAGAATGAAAAGAATCATCAGCTGCAGTCTGAAACTAAACAGTTCAGAATGAGCTGCAGCAGCAACATCCTGCTTTATGTTAATGAGAAGGAAGAAGAATCCCCTGCAGCACTATCCTCAACCTGAAGGAGAAACTAGTATACATTACTGTTAGTAAATATTATAACTTTAAACACACAGTATGTATTATGTAATGTTAGTATAATATTAATACATTATTTACAGGTCACACATTATTTGGACCACTAACTAGGGCTACAATATAAATTATAGAGCAAGAAAAATGCTGTACATGGTGGTTAGTCTTTGTTAACGCTCAGTACTAACTTGTCATAATTCTAACCCTTCATGCAGAACAATGAGTTTGTGTTGTAAAGTGGTGAAGACATAGGGGCTCAGATTAGAGGTGTGACGGCACATTTGGGTCATTTATGGTGGAATTTTTTTTATGTATATGAAGGGAAACAAAATTAAGGTGACAGGTGACAATTCAAAATATAAAAATATAATGGAATACAAAGCAGTGATCAGCAGCTTGTTGTTTGGCTTAAGTTACTTTTTTTGGACCGTGCACATTTGTTTCTTCCATATTTCAGTTGCATTGCATAGTTTCTTACTGTGCATCGTTTCATTTGTTATTTGATATTCTCACTCCCGACTCATCACATATTGACGCTTGGTCAAGGCCCTTTGGCGTCATTTTCAGACGTTTAAGGCTCCACGGTCAAGTTAGCAACGCTAGCGTTTCAAAACATCGCCATTCTGAAACGCCACGTTATTAAAGTTGTGAAACGTTGAAATTTGGTTGGGTTTAGGCACAATAACTACTTGGTTAAGGTTAGAAAAAGATCATGGTTAGGGTTAAAATAACTACGTACGTCAGTTAACATGTAAGTTAACTAGCGTCACTTACGCCAACTTACGTAACTTTGCCTAAATAAACATATTTAACGTTCACTTTTTGTTTCTGTGACGGGTTCAAAGTCCGGGTCCGAGTCTCCTTACTCAGTCTTTTCTGTTAAATATCAAATACCTGCCTTTACCGTCACAAACTGACGCTACAGGGCTTCCCCCACTGCGCTGACCATGACGCTATGAGGATGCCCAGTGCGTTACAAACTGACGCCGATGGGTCTTGACCATGTGTCCGTATGTGACTGAGTCTGGGAGGGAGAACAGGTTGGTTTTTCAGAACATTTTTAACAAAAGCTTTCAAAAAGTGGTAGAGACATTCAGATTCTGACCTGTCCCCAGCGTCTCCAGGGGAAATGACACCTATATGTCAATATTTTTAAATATCCCGCCCCATCAAGGCTGTGATTGGTCGGCTACTTTCTGCACACGGCTTCTTTAAAGGCACGCAAGCTTCTCTTCTCCCTCGTCTCTTAGCAGGTAGGCGAGAACGGGAGCAGGTGAGCCCACTTTGGCGTACCGGCCCACTTCGAGCACTGCTTTTACTGCAGTAACACTTTCACTGCAGGACTTTTACACATAACAGAGTATTTTACAGCTATCGACAGCTATTCCCTCCCTCCCTTCTGTTTCAGACTGAGCTGACCTTTAACTTAACGAGGCAGCTCAATTAAGAAGCTGTTTAAATAACAAACTATTCACACATGCTCTGAGGTTAGTTACGCGTTGTTAATGCTGAGAGAGAGATCCTCTATCACACCACCCTCATCAAACACACACACTCTGTTAAACACCCTGAATGGTTTTGCCTGCTGTCTATAAAGAGCAGCGAGCAGTCGACTCAGTTTGTTTTCTGAACTTGAAACACTGAGATGTTCTGAACTGAAATCAATACTTCCAGGGCTGCAGGGTTGATCACAGCCACATTATCCCCGTGGTTTACCTGTTCTCACAGTCTCACCGGTCGCGGAGCTTGAAGTTTGTCCTGAGGGCGGCGGTAGAGGAAAGGTCACGGAGTCATTGAAATGTAAAGAGTTCCTCCTCTGAACAGCGTCTGAACAGCCTCGTTTTCAGCTTGATGAACATGTAATGTTGTCTGAAACGGTTGAATATTTATCTATAAGTCCTACGCTGGAAGTTTTCGTGCATCTGTGCTCCCTCTCTGTGGTCTGGAACTACCATGGGGTGCAATCGCAGAGACATCTGGAGTTGTAAAATTGCTGAATACACCTGGAGGAAATCAGATTAGAAGCTATAAGACGAGTTTAAAATAGAATAGAAACAATGAAACAGAATACTGTGCAACTGACTGAATAATGATGAAATTTAGTGGTCAGTACCAATACCAGTGAAATTCTCGATACCACGGTATAAAACAAACAAAAACATTTGAACAACTAACAGCTGTGAGAGGATGTCCAGGACAGATGAGAGGTGGTTTGATGTCAATAAATTCATAAATGAGCAAGCTGTTGAAATTACACCCTTGCAATGTACATAAAGAATTAATTCATTACTTTTCTACAAACTCACAGGTGTGAAATATTTAAGGGTGGTCATTTTCACAGTTAGAAATGGATCGTTTTGCTCCTGCAGTAACAGGAGCGTTGGACAGACGTTCAGTTCTTAGAGCTGCAAACTGCCTCGTCACCTTTGGTGGTTTTGAGTTGATCCAGACTGTCTGCCTGAATCAGCTCTCCTGCTGTGATCTTAGACCTGACACGGAGCTAATGAAGGTAACAGCAGCGAAAACCGATGAATGTTTAATATTAAACTAACTTGACTCTGGTTTCCACTACGGCTTGGCCATGAAACAGTAATGATAATTATCGAGATATCATTTTCAACACATGTTCCATAAATGTTTGATTTAATTCATTTGAATCATGAATGAATCAGCACTTAATTTGTCAATTAATTAATAAATTTTGTTAAAAGGAAAAGGGACTGAAAAGATTTTTTATCATAATAGTTTTGAATGTTCTGCCTCAGATTTGTGAAGTGATCCACTGTTCGGCATCAAGTGTTTGTTCTGACCAGAAAGAAAAGTTTAAAACCACAATTAAATTTCACTCAGGAGCAAAAATCAGACTTTTAAACCTGAAAGAAATAATGATTTGACATTTATATGAAATGATTTATCGTGATAAATTTTTTCCTACATCACCCAGCCTTCGTTTCCATACACGACTCTCGCTGTTACTGTTACTTACGTAGAGGCGGAGCTGTCGCTGCAGCTGCCCTTCTGCCACATGCCACATGTCGGATCCCCGGTAGCTATGGCACTGTAGAAAAACGAAAACCGTCATCTTTTCAGAATACTGGTGTCAACTTGGTGCTCAGGTAATCGTGACGTCCCCATCCAGATCAGCAAACCCATTAGTCTCCTGCAAGTATCATCATACAGTCCTGTTAAAGGGACCCGATGGAGTTTCTGAACACCAGTAGTGCCATGAAGCAATGGTTTTATTAGCGGGTTATTCTGCTGAACGACAACAAAAAGTAGCACCAACAAAGGCAAGGAAGAGGAAGAGCCGGCCTGCAAACATGGAAGTAAATAATGCACAAATTAAAATCTTTAAAAATATATATATCAGCTTTACAAGTGTTTAATGAGGAAGAGAAAACATTCAACATGTCTGTCAACCCTCAAGCACGTGCGTCTTGGTGAAAGTAAACACAACGTTAAGTAGTGAAACCCTTACTCAGTTACATCTTGAAAAAACATATGTGAGAAGTGCAGTGGTCCTTTGCACCCCGGGAAAGCTGTCTCCGTCAGATTCCTCTCTGTGACAAAGGCGTCTAAACTTAGCCGGTGATATAACACGCTGAGCAGATCTGGCTGCTCTGGGATCAGCCTGTTAGTCTCTGCAGAGAAAGTAAATCATTACAGCCCCATTTAGTTATGTCCTCTTCTTTTTAACTCAACAAGCTCTGACTCATATGAGTTTTTCGGAAGTTAAAGTCGCACTGATTCATTGTGTTGACTATTTCAGACTGTTGTCACGTGGGGAAAAAAAGGCGGGTGTGCAGGGACGGGAGCAGGTGAAAAAAAGTGTTGCTGTGTCTTTGGAGTTTGAGAATAACTGTCTTCTTTAAATCATGGCAAAGTTGAAGCATGGACATAATCAACTAATTAGACTGCACTTGTGCAAAACTAGAAAGGACAAGTGCCACCGGTGGAGAGGGCACCTGACATGTAAATTGAAAGGAATTTGGAATTTAAAGAGGTGGTATTCTGCTTTTTGGCTTTTTCCCCTCTCCTTTGTTGAGTTATATATCTTTTCTGTGCATGTAACAGGTTTGCAAAGTGAAAAACCCAAAGTTCAGCCCAAAGGGAGTTCACATCTCCCACAGAAAACACTAGGGCTGCACATAACGATTATTTTTCAAGTCGATTAATCTAACTATTATTTTTTCGAATATTCGATTAATCTAACAACTATTTTTATGTATTCTAAAGAACAAAAAGTTGCCAATTACTCGATTAACATAAGAATTTATCCAAAATAAATATCAAAAACATGTCTTATCAATAAATCAATATTTTATTCAGTCATCCTGATGAAGCACATTAGAATAATGACAAAATTTCCACATCACTGATGTGTTGTAATAAAAACAATAACAGACATTAATTAGGCTACTTTACTTCAAACTTTAAATGATTCTGACAGGGATTTATTTCAATTAGGGCTGGGCGATACGGCCCAAAATGTTATCACGATAAAAACATTTCATATAATTCGATATCGATAATTATCACGATATATGTCAAATCGGCTTGTTTTAGATTAGAAATATTAAGTGCTAATTTGTTTGCAATTCAAATGAATTAAACCAAATATTTTTTGACGATATATTGAACATTTATTATATTGAAATTGAGGAAAATTATATTGCGATAATTATCATTATTGTTTAATTGCCCAGCCTTAATTTCAATATTGAGTAACGCAGTATGAAAATCAAATGTATTTCTGCATCAGTGTGGGGCAAAGAAAACAGCTGAAAGGATTCACAGACCGTACAGACAGTCACAGGTTGTCTGTAATGTTAGACTCAGCTGTTTTCTCGCTCATACGTGGTCGTTAAATAAACAGAAAATATGAACGTTAGATGACACACTGTCTAACCATACGTTTCCATGACAGCAGTGGGGCAGAAATTACTTTAAACATGAAGCAGATGAAGAAGTACTTACAAAATACATTTTAACGGACTACGTGTCGTGTGGAGACAGAACAGGATTTGCAGTGCTGCCGTCAGCGCTCCGGGATACTTCACGTATTCGTAGACAGCAGTTGTGCTGCAGTGAAGCTGTTTCCAGTTCACAGAGCTCACGGTGAAGCAGGTTGTTGAGTGTCTGAAATACTCCCAAACTTTAAACGGTCGAAGGTGCGGTCTTGTAGCTGCAACTTGTCCGGGGGATGCAGCGAAGCTTCGACGCACGTAATGCTAGTCGACGTATTTAGGAAATCGATTACGTCGACTACGCCCCAGCCCTAGAAAACTCTGCTCTGAACTGAAAACAGCTCGTTTGTAGTCCAGCCTTTTCCCTTCCCGAAGCTAAATGCGCTACTCCGACACGCCCTCAAAAACACAGGTGGAAAAAACAGTGAGCTGCAGCACACAGCTCTCCTCTCCCTTCCAAACACTAGCTACCCTCCAGGCCGTCACTGGACATAAAGTTGTTCCTGTGATGTAGAGACAGAGCTCAGTTAAAACTTTATGGATACAGATTAATAACTCACCGCTCTGAAACTCTCGCTCCAGTCCATGTTGCCAAGCTGGTAAGCAGATATACAGCTGAACCGACGCCGTGTTTACGGGCTTCACGCTGACCCGCCCTACTCTGCTTCTGATTGGCTAGTAGTCCTTAACTAGGAACTGAGCATGTGCAACTCCCAACAAAGATCATGTAGAGACAAGACGCATCACTCCATAGCTAAAACGAAGCCTTCAACACAGGGTGAAAAGAGGAGCTGCAGCAACGTGCAGTATGAGAAAAAAATATGGTGTTTTTTGAAAATTAAACCATGTAAACCTGTTCTGGTACAACCCCTAAATAGGATTTTGAACCTGAAAATGAGGATAATACCACCTATTCAAATCCTCTTAACTTGAAAAGGAAAGCAGTATAAATGTAGTTATGTTGTTTTAACTTGAAACTGTGAGCTAGAATAATTCAGAAAAGCTAAACTAACTAGTGACAGCGTGCAGCCTCCCTGCTCTGGGTCAGTCTCTGGCGCCCTCAGAGCGTCATTTTCAGAGAAGAAGCCATAAAAACCTGCTGTATACGACCAGCGAACAGCAGACAGACTCAGTCAGAGAGCAGCTGGTGAACATGGTGGAGCGTTTAGCTGCTAAAGAGCCAGATATTTCCCTCAGGAGCTGGTGGAGACCAAACACAGAGCTAACAGAGAGAGAATACTGGACTCACATTCATCAGGTGACACAAACACGCCTTCACATGAACCGTCATGTTGCTCAGGTGTGTAAATAAGTATCTGTTTCTGAGTACAGATCTGTATCAGATCGCATTTTAATACCTGGTGTAAATGGGGCGTGAGACCCCACGAAGCTGAGATTATAAGTCGAACCGGAGTTTGAACCCACGACCTTCTTGCTGTGCGGCGATAGTGCTAACCACTGAATTCGACTTCATACCTGTTGTATACGCTCATTATATCATTACTATGAACCAATCACAATGCTTGATTTGACCTACCCGTTTTATAATTACCATCATGTAATTATGCTTCTTTTGCATTTGTTGTTTTGTTTTATCCAATCACGCCAAAATTATTAAGTTTACAAGGATGTAAAAGTCAGACAAGCTGCAAATCTTCCCATTTGAAACGTTTGGGAAAAGAAAATGGTGGCATTTGTGTTTCATAAATTACTTTTCAACAATTAATCAATCAGTAAATGTATTAATTTTCGGTCAGTCGACTAATAAGTTAATTGTTTCAGTGTTGTGTTCATGAGCATTGTTGGAAAACTCAAACTCATACAACATAAACAATGATGATCATTGTGAAAAGTCTGAGCTCGGAAGTTGTCGGTTGATAAATGAAAGTCGAAATGCAAAACAAAACACACTTTTGTCTTTTGTGTTTGTAGCAACATAAATAATCTTCAGTTTTCAAGCTTTAGTTTGGACGTAGAAGACGACAAAAACGAAGAGTAAATAACAGGAGGGATTGTGGGTTGTGTAGTTGTATGCGAGCTGTGTGGTTAAAACAGAGAAATGTTTCAGTCGCCAGTACAGGAAACCTCACACATGCTGACAGCTCAGCAGTGTTTGTGTGTTCGTGTCAGGGAATTCTCACCTGTTGCCAAAATAAAAGACCGTAAATCTGCCATCTGTTAGCGCACAGACAGACGCAGCCTGTTTATAGTTTGACTGCTGTCATCACTACTGCAAGTTGTAAACCCTCATTTATTTAATCACTGAGACTGTGATTCAAGTTGTTTTCTATGTTTCCTCTTGTGTCAAAACGAGTCCTGAGTGTCTCACAGCCCGACATCTGATCGTCCTCTGAGCCACTGAGACCATTAAACCCATCAGTGAGCCTCACTGCTGCACTGACATGTTCCTTCATCACCGTGAACACTGTAGTTTAGTCTGACTCAGCCCCACATACACTACAGCACTACAGCACTACATGTGGATTCATCCGCCGCTGAAAGTAGTCTCCAACAAATGCGCCATTTCCTCCTGTTTGTTTGATAAACAGCGAGACTTTTTAAACATGAAGCTATAAATCTGTGAGGTGTTTTTAAAGATGCACGTCTTCCGGATCGAGCTGAAACTTTTAATCAAATAATTGATTAGTTGTCAACTTTTAACTATTTGGATTATTTATGAATCAGTTTGAGTAAATTCTATGGTTCCAGCTTCTTAAATGTGAATATTTTCTGGTTTCTTTCCTCCTCGGTGACGGTAAAATAAATATCTTTGGGTCGCGGACAACACAAGATATTTGGGAAACACTGACTTTTCACCATTGTCTGACATTTCATAGACCAAACTGATTAATCGAGAAAATTTTATTTAGATTTTTAATATATTATTATATTAACACATATTATTATTACTGTTTCATTTACTTATTTTATTTTAATTTTTAATATATTTGTATTTTTTTAAAACACGCTTACTGTTTTATTTATTTACTTTTATTTTTAATATTTATTTTTATATTTTATAATTTTTTTTATTATTGTTATTATATAGGACAGTTAGCCGAAGTTGAGACTGCATTAAGGAGCTGTGCTACATAAAGAATGGCGTATAGCTTATGCTGTGCTGCTTGGCAGTGATTGATCGCCAGCAGTAGGTGACGGTCTCACTTTGTGATGTTACTATTAAATTTTAATCATTGGCCTTAATTGAAGTTATCGTCATCATTGTCGTTGTGAAATGGCACACATGGCGGCACTTTGTGCTGAAAAGGGGCGGTCCTTTAAGGGCCTCAGATTAGGGGTGTGACGAAACACTAAACACAACATGCACAATATTGGGGTCACGAGACAAGAAGAAATTCTAATAGTATTTAAAGTAAAAATCACTGATTAAATATATGATTGGGGGGGTCTGGGGTTTCTCCCCCCAGAAGATTTTGAGCATCAAACATTCATTTTCTGCATTCTGGGACATTTTCTGCACCAATTTATGGTGGAAATGTCTGTATTTATATGAAGGGAAACATCATCTTGGCCTTTTTATTACACTTATCTGAAGTTAAATACACTAAAGGCTTCATCAGTTACTCTGTTTGATAAAATATCCCTGGAAAGACTCCTTGCTGTGGGGAACTTCAGCTCTGACATGTGGAGGGATTGGCTGTAATAACCCATCTGCTGCTGACCTTTCGGCTATCGGTGCCACTTAACTCGTGGCCTTTCGTCTTTATCACCACGAAGATAATGAGACATTTCCCGGCGTTGTCCCTGATTGGGTCCGAGGGAGACCCTGGGCGTAACGGACCAGGAGGGAGGTGAGGGAGGGAGGGAGGGGAGTCTAGAAGAATCTGCTCGGTCTATATTAGCCCCGGTGAATCACGGCGAGCCTGGCATACCTGGTGTCCCCTTTCACACCATATATGTCCACCCCCCCTCCTTTTCCCTTCACCCCCCCCACCCTGCCTCACCCTGCCTCACCCCGCCTCACCCCTCCACCCCCCACAATGCAACAGTGCTATCTCTGGCTATTCTTAGGCTGTCACTTCAGCTCCTCTGAGCAGGCAAGTCCTCTTCTTTCTCCTCTCTCAGCTTCTTCCTCTGGCTCGTCTTTCTCTCAGCTTTGGTTCGTGCGTTTGACACATTTTCCAGTTTTCATGTCAGGGTTTGATTCTCCCGTCTCTCACCTGTGTGATAACCTTCTCTCTGTCTCCTTTCAGAGGCTACCTGGCACCGGCCCTCCCTCCCATCCCTCCAGCAGCTGTGGGGTTTAAAAAAAAATTGGGTTTAATCGCCGTCGTCCATTTTGGAGGATCTTTTTAGTTTTCTGGAAGAATGAGCGCCTACACCGTGTCGCTGCCCGGCCCCGGCCCCTGGGGCTTCAGGCTGCAGGGGGGGAAGGACTTCAACATGCCGCTGACCATCTCCAGGGTAAGAAACTGCTGGTTTTCTTTTAATCTCAGCTGCCACACCTCCATCAGCAGGTACGCCTGAGCTCAGCCTGCTGTCTCTGCGTTTGGCCTCAGTTTGGTTTAAAGATGTGTCTTTGTTGCAAGAGAGCCTGCTGGTTCATCCAATTTAACATTTACCATCATGCTTCTAACTTCCTAAAGTGGTTATCAAATCATTTCTGTCTCTGAGTCCTGAAAGTCTTATTTTCTTAAAAAACAAAAAACAACGAGGCGACCTGATGGCCAAAGGGTTTCAGTAGGTTTGCTGGGGACCTCTGTTGCATGACCCTCCTCCTCCTCATATCCTGTCACCACGCCTATCCACTATCAAAATAAAGTTTAAAAAATTACAACAAGGTAGCTTTAATTGTGTAGAACCTTTTAAAACAACAGAGAAATGATCTATGAAAATTAGACTGATCCCGGTCGCTGCACTGAAAACAAGTTTGTTTTCACTTGTTTTAAGAAAATAAAGATTTCAAGTAACAAAAACAAATGACTTGAGAAGAAGGAGATTGACGACTGTTTCCTGTCCAAAATCAGCTTTCAGAAGCTTGAAAATGTATTTTATTTTAGGAAAAGTTATGAATGAATAAATGAATCAGTCAGGTAAATTTGAATTTTCCACTTCATCAACTTTGACGGTAAGAGTCGACATGCAGCTCACAGGTTGATTTTCTTAGTTAACTGAAATGAATGGAAGCGAACGGCTGGCCAAGACGCACATGCAGGAATGTAAAATATGGTGTTTCTGGATGTTTTTGTGGTCGGTTTTCTGTCATTCCTCTTTTCTGTTATGTGCGGGTGGTTCTGATTATGAACTTTGATTTTTGGGATGATTTGAAAACACATGTGAAGCCTGTCAGGGTGAGACCTGTGGCCCCCAGCGGCCCCCACAGGGTGTGACGGCTGCCAGGATTTATCAGGGAGGCCGAAAGCAGAGCCGGAGGCCTAAAACTGGAGCTGGTGTTGGTTTCACCTCCTAATCTCTCTGAATAGACCAGAGACACAAACACTCCTCTGCAGTTCTTCCTCGTCCTGGTCTCACAGGGGGATCTGCTGCATCTGTTGTCAGGACACCTTCACCTTTGACCTTCTCTCTGCTGCTTGTTGGAGATTTAGGCGTTGAGGCTCATTCTGCGAGCTGCTGTGGATTGCAGCTTCAGCACATGTGCAGATGACTCTATTTAGCTTCTCCAGACATTAGAAGCCTGCTGTTGTCAGGATTCGGCAGATCAGTCAGAAACCTACTGACCTGCTGAAATGACAATAAGTGACGCGCAGACGGTGGACATGGCGTGTTGATTGGGAAGAAGATCTGCAGGATGTGATGTTGTGAAGTTATTAGAGGATACATTGTCCCAACCATTGTTTTGGGGAAAGAATGACAATATATATAATTAGACTATAAAAAAAGATGTTCTGGTGTTTAACAGCGCTGCTTCTGTCCTCTCTGTGTTCAGGGAGGGCGGGGCTCACCGGCTCCTCCACAAACAAACTCTCCGAAGGGAAACCACATCGGCAGATGCAAGACCGTCAGACCCGCTTATACTGGGTGTTCAGCAGCATACGGAGGCTGTCAAGTAAAACCTGTTTGATAGGACAATTAATTTATTGTGAATTATCCCTTATTAATTAAAGTATTTTTAATATCCTACTGTTACACTACATCAGGGGTATTCAATTAGATTTCAAAGAGGTCTAGTTAGAGAAAATTTCCTGAAGCAAAGGTCCGGAACATCAAAACGACGAAATTGCGTTATCATTCAGTACTATAACCTATAGTTGTATCAACACATGTTTTTAGTCAACAACGGACTGTCAAATCAAATGTAGCTTGAAGTGATGAAGTGTAGTCTTAACCGATTTTATAATAAACACTCAACACATCATAACAAATGAACAGCTGTAATGCCTCCTCTTCTCTTTCATTTCCTCTTACAGAGCTACCACTTTCCTACTTTCTGTTGTTCAGTGAGAAACGTGAGCTCCAGCTAGCATATTGGAGATCTATGAGATATTCTGGTTTTGAACTGCCCGTGGGAGGAATGTACATGTAAAAATCTGTACATTCTTGATTAAAAGTCATGTGAAATCTCTTTTATCTTTCGTCTCCTCAATTCGGGTGTGTTTCCAAAACGTCTCTGGTGAATCTCGCGGACTCGACTCGCAAGCATCGGTATGCACAGATTTGATTGGCTGAGCAGCGTCACATGAGACGATTGGAGCACATGCGATTGGTCTGTGAGTTTCCTGGTCCTCTAAACCAGTACAGTAAATGCTAGAAAAGCTGCGGGGGGTTAAAATAGAAACGCTCCGTCACGAGGTAGTAAGTCTCAATAATAAATGGGTTGTAGGTCGGCGGTCCGGAGAGGACGGCGGTCCGCCTATTAGTGACCTCTGCACTACATGTACTGTGAATTATGCCCATAAATAATTGCACCTACGTTGGAATATTTCTACATATTTGCATGATACATCAAATTCATTGATATTGATTTAATTGTTGAAATTTTATTCATCCATAACATGATTACACTCTTTCTGATGACAAAATGTGCTTAAACTTTAAAACACAGAATTCTAAAAATTTTTTTTCGGAAAACAGAATTTGGGAAAAAAGAAAAATCAATCTGGCAAAAAAAATTTAAAGTGATTTCATGGCTCTGTATCCACGGTCTCATCGCCCAATATGTGAATGCACCATAACTGCAGTACGTACCATCGGGGGTTGACGACGACGCGGGGATAGAAACTTTAGCTGCAAAAATCTCAAAGAGGAACGGAGGTCAGGAGCCTATCAGGCAAAACTTTGTGCACAGCGTCTTTGACGACACCACGTATCCGTAACACACCCGCTCTGCGACACTTGTAGTTTCGTGAAAAAAGTCCTAGGAAAAGGTGCATTGGAAAGGTGAAAAGTGTTGGGAGAGCACGACACCTCTAACCTGGACTGTTTATTGTTTCTTGTCTTTGTTTCTGCTCCCTGGCCGACTTGTAATCAAACAATTTGAAACTAAAGTGTCCTAAGATGCAGCTGAACTGACTGCAGGAGAGAAACTGAATGAAGCAAATCGATCAGAGAGTTTGGCGTTTGAGTTCATACCTTTGTTAAATGATTTTACGATATCTCAAGACGCAGCTGATATCACAAGAACTTTATCTTCATCCGAGAACAAGAAACTGAAGTACATCTTGTTTATATACATGACGAGGAGTATTGTCACATCAGACTCCTACAGAGCACATTCCTCTGAAAGCAAAAAAAAGATATATGCAGCATGTCAGATAGACAACAAGGTGAACAGAAAGTAACAGCAGGAACTGTGAACGCCGCCCTGAGTGTGGTGCTGCTTATGTGTGCCAGGTTTAAAGCCTCCTCCCTGTGTGACAGAAGATCTGGTGTTTGAGTTTGTGATCTAATTCAGTCGTCCTCCAGTGAAGGAGGGGCAGAGATCCACCTCAGTGGATGGAAACATGTGCTTCAAGGTTTGTGAAGCATCAATATTTATTACTGGGAAAGCTTTGAAAATCTCCTGAGAGACGAGGTGCAGCTCAGCCTCCCTGTCAGCTGCAGATGAAACTCCTTCTCGGCTCGCTGTGCCGTAGACAGCACTCTCTCCTCCACGTCTGCAGAGTTTCATTTTCACTGTCAACCTGTTTTACTTTTGTTTTCCAGCCAAATCCGCCAGTTTAGTCCCGAATCCAGACTGCACACTGATTCTGAGCCGCTTTGTAGTCTGGCAAGGTGACCAAATGAGGTCTATTCAGAACTGTCAGCATGCAGGTGGATGTCATATGTAACCTGCCACCAGGGCTGCAGCTATTGATTATTTTATCACTCATGTATTCAACAGATTATTTCATCAATACTTCTTGCTCGGCGCCCCCTGGTCCAGGATCAGCTGTGTAACTCACCACTGTAACGTTACGACCCAAACTAACGAGTCGGAGAACAACAACAGTGTTTGTTGATGCTTTTTAGTAATCGTGCTACTCAAGTTTGTCGATGGATCGTGTCAGCCCTACCTGCTACATTATTGTTTTCACTATTTCTTGTGAATAGTGCTGTCCCTTTATTCTGTATTGCATTGAGATGTGGTGTCTGTACGGTGGCAGTTTCCCCCCTGAGGGATTAATAAAGTATTTTGCATCAGATGTATAATAAAAACAATAGCTTTAAAGTGTGACTTTCATCCCATCCATCCTGATAAATTAAGTTCTCACAGCTGCAAAAAGTGTGAATGAATTGTGAATACGAGGCAGAGAAAGGTGTGTTTGGGGAAAAGGACAGGTGCATGCAGGTGCTCTAAAAACTACAGGAAGTTAGTCACTGTAATTCGACCGCTGATTTGATCGCTATAGTCCCGCCCCACTGTGCTGTGATTGGGAGCTCATTACTTGTGATTGGACGCCAGATCCATCGTAAATATAAGGGGTCAGAGAGCTGGAACAAAACAGGCAAAATTATTTCAAATTAAAGCATTCCAGGTAAAATAACAGAGCGAGAAAATCAGTTATTAGACCTACAGCGTGAAAATCAGTTATTAGACCTACAGCGTGAAAATCAGTTGTTAGACCTACAGCGTGAAAATCAGTTGTTAGACCTACAGCGTGAAAATCAGTTATTAGACCTACAGCGTGAAAATCAGTTGTTAGACCTACAGCGTGAAAATCAGTTATTAGACCTCCAGCGTGAAAATCAGTTACAAATACATGTTTTATTTTGGTGATTTAAATCGTCCAGATTTGTCCTGCCGCCCTGCACTGTGCTGTGAACTGTCTGTGTGTGTTTATGTGGAACAGAAAAGCCTGTTAGACACACGCTCTGCAGGCTTTCACTACAAATATGTTAATACCCAGTGAATCAACACGAGCCCACACACACACACCCCGAGCTTTGTTGGATCAAATATCTCCGTCTCTGCGTGCGTCGCCATGTGCTGATAATCTGCCGTCAGAGTGACAGCAGCTTCGCTC